TGCTATTGATTCTGCTTATTGTACAAATGTATATCCTGATGGTGTGGCTAAGACACTGACATGGCTAAGACACTAGTGTGGCTAAAACACCAGAGCAGATGAACTATACTCAAGTGGAATCAATAGCAAATATTTAATGTTCCAATGTCTTAGCCACACTGGTGTCTTAGCCATGTCAGTGTCTTAGCCATGCCATCAGGATATACCTTTGTACAATTACATTCCAATGCTTTAATATCTGATAATTGGCTACAATATTATAGCTAAGACTTTGAGGTAGAAAAGGGGTATTATAGGACAATTCCAAGCTCATATTTGCAAGGTCTTATGCCTTAGTGGTATAGCACGCTGCGGTTACTTTCGGGCTGCGGGTTCAATTCCCGCTTGTGCCATTTTTTGGGCTTTTCGGAAATTAAGGCTCCAACCGTTTAGTTTACGTTTAAAATTTTTTTGTAAACACACAGTAAACGGTTATAAACGTTTATAAACAGTTTATAAACAGTAAACAAACAGTTAATATGTACAATCACTTTTTCTTTGAGGATCGTGCCGGAATAACTTCCAGAAGGCCTGCGCGAATCCATTGCTTGACGCACATAGCCTCTGTGACAGTCTGTGCCCGGAAAGAGGAGCGAAGATCGGTACACAAGTGTCGAGACGCCGAAAACAGTCGTTCCACTGACACGCTTGTTGCGGGAATGGCCAGAAAGTCGCGCGCCATACGGCTTATGATGGGAAATGCACCTGCGTGCTCCTAAAGAGTTGGAGTCAGTCACAAGATTTGTACAAAAGCAAGGACAGCTCACCTTCCACCAGGTCAGAATAGTACTATGCGGCTCAACCGCACCGCCTTCGCCCGCAAGATACTGCTCAGCTTCGTTCCGTCGCAAGACAGATGCAACGGTTGCTTGTGAGGGCTGCAGAACTGCGCACACTTCATCAAGGAAGCCGGTCTTATTCTGCGACTCAGAAGCACGGGGCTTCTCGGGCTCTTGACGAGCGTTCTCCTCTGCAGCAGCTGCATACTCGTCATACGCATGCTGGAAGAGCGCGCGAGCCTTCTCGACAAAGTCTGTGCCTAGCCGGTTGAACCACTGAAGACGCATGGAAGGGTGTAGCACTGAGAGATGACGCGTGAGTTCAGTCAGCGTTTATCTGACATTAAGGCGAACGCTCGTACCTGTCGCAATAATTACGTACTGGGAGGCCTTCGCTTTCGTGTAGTATCCAAGCAGCTTGAGCAAACCTGCGGCCGCAGCATTGCGAATGAGTGGGTCGAGCTTCTCATCTTGAGCATTCGCATCCAGCGATTGTCGCATGTACTCGTACATTGGGAGCACATATGGCAGTGTTGGCGTGCGCGCCACGCTCATGGCTTCCGTCACCTTCGTGAATACCTGTTGGTGTAGGTTGAGTATCGCTGAGATGCATAATGACAGTGCTGATGGGTACCGCACCTCGAGTAGCTTTGCAATGCTCGCAAGCATGGTCCAATCATTGGATGTGAGTTTCAGCTCATGCAGCGAAGGGTGAGCATTCACCCACTTCGTGATGGCCTATGTGTATTCGTAGTAAGTGTCAACCCACGGCTAATAGAAGATAAGACTTACGTCTCTCAGTTCCAGAGCGCGAACAATCATAGCGTGGGTATAATTCCATCGTGTGACAACATCGCGAATCACCATGAGCCGGCGCCGCCGTGCGTTCTCTGCAGTATCTGCTTTATACACCTTGCGCTTGATCTTGTAGAACCTTGAGCGTCGCTGCGGCGAAGATGCGATCTTCGTGCATATGAGGCGGAGCTAAAGCAACATCGATTCCTTAGGTTGAAGTTGAGACCCTCACGCAGGTATGAGATAGGTACACACCTTCTTTACAGGGCTCTGCACCTTCCATGTTGATTGCCCCAAGTCGCCAAGGTCCTCGTCCTCAAATTCGTCGTCGTCTTCGCTATCCGAAGAGTCCTCGCCATCATCAAGTTCTTCGTCTTCGGCCTCAAGAGCCTTGAGATCGCCGTCTTCTTCCGGGTTGTAATGAAACGGCTCATGCTTGGCGAACTCCTCGTAGTAATCTCTCAGTGCCGGGTCATCCGCTTCTGAGAGCTCGTGAAGAATCTTCTGCACCACAAGGTTAACGACATGCGCGATACAGCGAATCTGGCCGTTTTCGGGATTAAAGTGAATGCTGTACCGCTTCAGAAGCAGCAAAGCGAGGGTACGTGCCATGACGTCGTTGGCTGAGGCGTTGTCCATCGTAACGCTAACAAATTTGTCAAGGCCGCCGCACTTCGATCCACCGTCAACAAACGCCTTCGCTGCGTACTGGCCTCGGTGCTCCTTGTCTTCAAGATGGCGGAAATCCACCATGCACTCGATGAGCTCCCAGTCATCGTTGATGAAGCTCGCAAGTGTACCTGCAAAGGTGAACACCATCTGCGAGGTCGTCCATGAGTCTGTTGAGTATGCAATCTTGGATTTTACTGCCTGTTAGACTGGTGTTAATTAACATATTCGAAACCAAGGATAGCAGCTTACTGAAAGTTCCCGCACAACCTTGCCGTGCAATTCTGCGAAGATCTTGGCAAGTGTGTTCCGAACAGTCGTATCCGTAGGCAAAGCGTAATTCACTTTGAGGTAGCGGAAAAGGATGGCGAGTGACGGTGCTTCACCTGTCGTGAACGGCAAGTCCTGATCAAGAAGCCACGCGGAGAAGAGTTTGACGAATCCGCCATAAGTCGGAACTACGGCTGGATTGAGCTCGCCCTCTTTAAGGTACGCCTCCATCAGCTTCGCGCTGGCGTTCAAATTCAAGTCTAAACCTGGAGCACCGGGCTTCGACTCAGACTCATCTCCTTCGACAGCTTGTCCATCCGCTATCGCGGGGTGGTCATGGAGATGGGTCGACAGGTTGCCGAGGTGAGGGAGGCGGGGCTCATCTTCAAATCGGGCACTGTCACCCTTGAGCGTACGATTCACTGTGCGAGACCTGATAAGATTACGTGAGTCTGAGCGGCGCATGAGCAGATTGAGGCATGTGTCTCACTTATTGCAGTGCTTGCATTTAAACGTCCAGCGATCACCTTTCCGGGAGCTGGTCGGGACAGGGTCATGATAATGCTGAAGGGCGCTATTCACAGGACCGCGCTTTCCGCCCTTGTCAGCTGCTTCCGCCTTCTCAACTCGCCGAAGGGCATTTTGGCCATCCGACTCACTCCCCGAGGACACCTCTATCTCAAACCCGGCCTTCCTTGCCTTCTTCCTTGGCTACAATACACGCAGAAAGGTTAGTGCATGGATACAAAGTGTGGAAATGTTTGTTACTGACTGGCCGCTTGTATTTGTTTGATGATGAACGGCGCTTCTGGCCGATGTCCTTGGTTGTCCTCTTCTTGCCATGATCTGCAGGTGCACGTATATGCGTCTTGGCCTTCGATGTCTTCTTGCGAACGCTGATGGCTGGCTCCTCTTCGCTTTCATCTGATGTGACGTCGTCGGTGTCGGACTTTGTGACGCTGGTGGCTTTATAGTCGTTGCCACTACCTGAGCCACTATCAGACAAGTCTGACAGCACCTTGCGCTTCAGGTGGCACAGTGAGCAATACGCTTCTATAATTATCCAAGGGTAACACTAACCTTCGACTTCCTCCGATGTGTCTCTTCGATGATCTCTTCGCCATCAGAATCGAAGATAACTGATGGCGCGCGGAGATCTTCCACAGCGCGCCTGGGAAGTCGGTATGTCTTGTCACCGGCTTCACCGTCTGATAGCAGGTCAACAGCTGGCGTAGGTGTTATATTGAGACTCTTGAAATGCTGCAGTATGTGCTCACTTTGGGGTTTCAGCAGCTGGTCCAGGGGAAGCTGCCGCATGGGCGCAGACTTCTTTTTTCCCGTCTTGTCTGTGCTTTTGC